AGTCATTATACAATTGTCAAAACCCATAGAATGTACAACACCAAGAATTCTAATATACCTAATGAAACTTAACGTCAGCTATGGATTTTGGATAATATCGGGACATCAAAATTGTTTTCATGCTTTGTAACGCTGATGTGGGATATGACGAGGGTAGGCTTAGGGTTTGTAGGGGAAGAGGGTGTATAAGAACCCTGTAACTTCTGCTCAATTTTTAGTAAGCCTAAAACACTCTAAAAAAATCTTTTTAAATTTTTCCCTGAGTATATAATAAAGTCTTGGCTATTTGAAGGTGCTGTGTTGTAAAGTGTATGTGCGTTTGTACTAGTGAATCTCCAGAAGTAGACTACTACCTGAAATATAGTAAACTTGTATGAACTACATGTATAGCTGTAGCACACTTAAATAAAGTTAATGTAACTCATGTAACACAATATATGTCCTTATCTTTTTTAACATTTGGATAGATATTATAGTTAAAGGCTTTTAAAAAATTCTCTTTATGCTGTTTTTAAGGAAGATAATGTTATCTGTTTATGCACAGTTTAGTAACTTACAATTAGTATAAATGTGGTAGATTTCTATGTAGAATTTGCTCCATATACGCATATTAAATCAGTCAACTAGAGTTTCATCATGTTTCTTATGCTACAAATGTAAAATATACATCTAAGATATTTAAAAGTGTTCTATTAGCAATTACTGAATAGCTTTAAGAAAAAAAATTCCTACATACATTATAGTATATGAATAGAATTGACACTACGACTAAATTTTTATTCTTTGGATTTCTAAGATTTTAACTTCTATTCGAATCAAGTTAATCAAATTTTAACAATTGGTACTTTGTACCAGAGAATGGGAGGGAAGGATAAAAGTATAATTTCAAAGAGATGAGAATAAAATGTCACCTTTGAAAAACATATTATACTAAGCATCATTGATATAATCTATGGTTTTTAACACTGATTATGTACTCAGAACTGATGGTAGCACTATCAAGAGGGAAGGTATAATCATCATCAGTTGTGTAGAGAGCTGAAGTGGCACTGCTTGTTCAGGTGAGGTCAAGGGGGTATTAGTGATTCTGCCTCCGCCTAAACACCACAGGCCAGTTGGATTGTCACTGCCATTAAAATGACTCTGAGTCAGAAATCAGTACAGACCCAGTGTCATTGCATCCATGGGATAGAAGATCAGATATAGATACCAATGAATACAGATTGTATCTTTTTCACCAATACGTTCTCAGCGTCTAGAAGAGGAAAAGCATAGGAAATTCCCTACTGGTCTCCCAGAGCATGAAATTAGTCAAGGAAAACATTCCTTTCTCTTAGCTATGCCAATGCCACACACTGTCAATTAGTTTTGAGAAAAAATATTCTACCAAAGTAACCAAATATAGAACAAAAACATCTCACCTTCCTGCTTGATGCTGTTCTTGGATGAGTGTGGAGAGCATAATTTCTAAATACAATAATACATAATTTCTATTCTTCTTTATTAACCATACTAGTCCTTTTTTTCTTTTCTATTGGTGATTATTAAAAGGACAGTAAATATTCAGTATTTCCAAATCCTCACTTGGAATTTACTTCTTAATCACTGTAATATGAAACTTGCTCCATTAATTCACAAAGTTTTTCTTTAATGTCACCAATTACCTCCAATTGAAGGAATCCAATGGGCATGCTTTATTAATTTTATTTTACTCTGAAACATTTGACATTCATCATATTCTCTTGAGAAGTTATTTTTCCTTAGGTTTTCTGTTAGTGCTTTCTCAGAATTGATCTGTTACCTTTCAGATATTCCGTTTTCTCTCTCTCTCTCTTTGTGAATTCTTTTTCCATCTATAATATATGCAATGATATTGTCTTGGGCTTATTATATTTATTATATTTGTCTCTCACTTCACAAATAATCCTTGGACAAATTTACTAAATCCATACAAAACTTGGTTTTAACTATTAAACGCCATGAGCAACTCAATTCTGAACATGACAGAAAAAAATTTAAGGAATAAAAGAGAGATATGACTTGTGTGCAAAAATCATTCTGCCCTTTACACCTCTGTAATCTTGAACAAGTTATTTAATCTCTTTATGCCTTAGTTTCTCATCTGTAAAATGGTGGAAATCATGTTGATTTTATAAAACATAATATGTATAAAATAACATGTGTAAAGTTTCTGGCACATATGGAGACAGTGTGATGTGTGACTTACTATTAATAACAGATATTCCAATTTATTATGAAAATATAGGACAGAGATTTTTACTAAATTAATAAATTGTACAGAGATTTATGTAATTGTATAATTATCTTTTGTTAATCTCCATAGAATATACATACCTCTACTGTAATTCTTTTATTTTTTGGATTGCCAGGAACCACTTTGATGCTAGGACTTAAGAGAAAATTTATGGCAAGTTAGGAATGGAAATATGATTAGATCCAAATTCCCCCAGCTTTCCCCAACTTTAAATATTAGTTAACATGGTTTTAGTTTTTAAATTCTGCTTCCCATTTGTCTCTCACCCACATTTTGATTCCCTATTGCCTGTGGTCCAAAGCCAACCTTGCACCCCCTTGCCTTCAATAGGGTCATGTACAGAAATCCAAATCAGGACTATCGGAACCGTTTACAATCCTTTTCTCATGCTTTTGTCACACATTCTCTCCTTCTTGATGCACACACATGCACCCAGATGAGCACCAGCACACAGTTTAAAGATTCCTTTTGTGCTGCTTTTCCAGACCAAAATTGCTAGCAATGGCTCCAGATTTGATTACTTCTCTCTTTTGTCAGTGAATTCCTTGCTATCATGAAAATATATTCTTCTTATTATTCTCTATTGAGAACAGAATAAAGCAAAATTGACTTAATCTGCAGCACGAAGTTTATATTTTGTTGTGAAAAAGAACATTTTGACAGGATTGCTAAAAAACTAAAATTGCTAAACAAGACTCGTCATTTTATTATCTTTGAAAAGTATAGTCTATCATTCTCTAGAAGAGATTGTTTTCTATTTTGTCTTGAAAAACAACAAGACTTCAAACATTGTTTTTCAACTCTATGCTTCTCACATACATTTTTAAATATCTTTAGAAATCTTCTCTTAAAATTGTAGATACTGTCAAAGCCTAATTGTTAAAACTGATCATAAAATTTGAGTATTTTTCTTAAAATGTGGTGTAAAACACTCTCAACCAATATAATATCGCTTAATTTGAAAATTATATCATGTGCTGCATTTTTGTACAATATATTTTATATTACATTTGCTATCAACAACATATATATATTTTCAATAAGCTATGCTTAAAGACATCATTGTAGGACCATTGTAAGTGATATCATTTGTAAAATAATTATGTGGAGGCATTAGAACAATTATAGTTATTTCTGAGAAAAAATAGTCAATAAATTAGTTTTATTGACATGATATTCCATGTTGTGCTGGTTATTACTTGGGAGACACTGAAAATCTGTAATGTAGTTTTACTACAATATACTTATAATTTAAGCCATGGAGATAAGATTTGCAATGTTAAAATCTTAATATACAAATGCAACTATATATCACGTTATACATCAAGTATCCTAAATGAACAGATAAATGAATATTAGAACAATAAGAGAAGACTTTTGAAAGAACATTAATATGAGTTTAATATCTTTAGAATACTCAGAATTAAGAAAATCCATTTTTTGTTGTTGTTCTTTGAGTAACCTTCATACTGTACTACATAGTGGCTGTAACTAATATACATCCCTAACAAAATACATAAGCAATCTCACTGTTGGGTGTATGTCCAAAAGAAAAGAAGACAATATATCAAAGAGACATCTGCACGCCTATGTTTATTTCAACACTATTCACAATAATCATGGTATGAAATCAATCTAAATATTTATCAATTAATGAATGAAAAAAGATAAACGTGACACATATACACAGTGAAATATTATTTAGCCATAAAAAGAATGTAATCCTGTCACTTGCAACAACATAGATAAAGCTGGAGGACATTATGTTAAATAAAATAAGCCAGGCGTGAAAAGACAAATATCACATTTTCTCACTCATATCTGGGAGATAAAAAAAATTGAACTCAGAGAGACAGAGAATTGAATGTTTATTACCAGAGTATGGACAGGGTAGTGGGGTGGGAGGGAATAAAGAAAGGTTGACTAATAAATGCAAGATACAGTTAGATAAAATGTTCAGTAGAACAACAGGCTAACTTTAGTTAACAATAATTTATTGTATATTTCAAGATATAAAAGTGTGTGTTTGGAATGTTTCTAACACAAAGATGCAATACATTCTTGAGGTGATGGATATCCCAACAACTTTGTTTTGAATATTACATGCACCTATATATATACAATTAGTATGAATCAATAAGCATTAATTCAAGAATAATATAATAAATTTTTAAATATATGTACATATTTGGAAATATATACATAAAAAATTCATCAAAACAAATTCAAATGTCTAAAACATATTTCACATTATAAATGTGGTATAGTCTTTTGGAGCCAGGTATGTATAAGTTTAAGTGCAAAATCCGTTACAATCTAACCCTTCGCCTTGGGCAACTCATTTCACCTCCCTGCATTTCTGCACCCGTAAGACTATCAATATAGAGATTAATAGTGAGTATTAAAACTAAGATAATAAATTTCAACACTGGAGCTAATCGGAGCTATCATATTTTTCTATGTCCCTCAAAGCATCAATGCCTTCCTCATAGAGAAATCACATGACAAAAATACTGCTATTGGATCTGATAGAAATAAAAGTTTTCTGTATTACTATGAAAACCCATTACTGTTTTCTTGCACAAGATGTAAGTTATACAAAACGAGAAAAGTAGAAGTCATGTGCAAAGCATGTTATTCATAGAATATCTGCTTCTAGACATTAATAAAATAAATTATTTTTTAATGATGTTGCTCTGAAAATAACTCAGTTTTTTTGTTACAGGAGATAACTGCAAGACCACTGAATACAGCAAGATGAAAAACATCCTTTTAGATTTACAAAATCAAAAATATATTATGCAAGAAAATGAAAACCCTAGTGCTGATGACGTATCTAGGAAGAAGCTGTTGGTGGATCAAATGTTTAAATATTTTGATGCAGACAGTAATGGACTTGTAGATATTAATGAGCTAACTCAGGTATGATTATTAACTAAATTTAACAAACTTATTGAAATGTAGATACACAATATATTTACATTTGTGTGAATTTAGTCTATAGGAGCAAAGCATATATTTAATTCATGTTATTAAAAAGTATGGGCATAGAATACATTTAAAAGCAAATTTGACTATGCTATTTCCAATATTAATTTTCAGTAACATTTTTGTGGGTTTTGCAGCTTAGAAGGAGATATCTACTTTTAATAGATTTTGATGCCTTAAATGTCTAAAGGAATGACATGTTTTCTATTTTATATATTCCAGACCCTATGTAATGTTCAGTTTTCTATCAGTCAATAAAAGGTGGTTCATCCAAATTTCAGTAACATTACTGAATAATTATTAAGCACCTTTACAACAAAATGTGTATGAATGATTTAAGATAGTTTGAATCACTGACATATTCCAATAGTTTTTTTCAATAGTCAAGGATCAATTTTGTCATATTCAATTTGGCTTTTAATAACAAGTAAACATTTTATTAATGATAATATTTTTTTTAAAAGCGGTTCTTTCTTATGAGCCAATTTTAGAAAAACAAATATTTGTATGTGTCACTAAGACATACAGTCTAGTTTAAAGGAAACTAGTACTCATATTGAATAATCTGAACTAGTTGTGACTACTAGTGGAAGTATAAAATAAAAGACACAAGGCTTCTTCAGAAATATGCAGATTTTAGAAGAAAAGTCAAATGAGGTTGAAAGATTATAGTGATGGCATGGATGGATTTTGGTGACTTCTTGATGATTCCTATAACAGATCCTGAGGTTGAGTTTGCTCCTACCCTTAACAGTGACTATAAACTTGAAGCAAAAACAAAAAACAAACCAACGATTTTTCTAACATCATGTTATTCATTTTTTTTGTGGTTAACTTTATGATTTATTTTAAAAATCTGACATTTTAGACTTTGCTCTTACTAAGCAAGTATTTCTAAGCTTTGGAACAGTGTGATTTAAAGACTTTGTGTCAAACTCACCTTGTGAAAAAATTGATTATAATTATTGTCATCAAAATTAATTAAAATTTATATCATTTTTATTATCCTCTCTAATTCAGTCTACATTTATTGAGTAGTTACTAAATACCAACATTGAGATTTAAGCAACTAATCTGGAATTAGAATAAAATTAGAAGGTAATTTAATCAAGATATCTGTGTTGTCATATACCTCATGAGTTATTTTTCAAAAATAAAATTTGAAATTTATATTTCATACTAATAGAAATGACTGGTTAATTAAGTTAAAATAAATTTATCATTAAGTTATGCTATCTTGATATATGTATGCCTGACATATTGAAATATATTGTATTTGGGGTAATTTTAAAAAATATTTAATATTTAAAATTTTTACGAACTGTGTGTGTGTGTGTGTGTGTGTGTGTTTAAAGGACTTTATTAAGTATGGATGTGTTCCAAGACAATTATTTACTTTTTTAATTTTAAAATTTTATTTCTGGGAAAAAACACATCATAGAATTTATCATCTTAACCATTTTTAAATGTATATTTTGGTAGTGTTAAGTACATTCACATTGTTGTACAACCAAATTTCAGAAATTTTTTAAATTGCAAAATTTTTTGTTTGTTTTATTTTTTAATTTTATTTTAAAGATGTGTGGTACAATTCAGGGTTAGGAATACAAATGTTCATTATGCAGGTACTCTTGTTGATGAGGTGTGCCCCTCCCATACCTGGCAGTTTCCCTTAACTGCCAATCCCATCCCCCATCCCCTGGCAGCTTCTCACTACTGCCAATCTTTCTTATAGTATTTAGATAATTCTTCAAGGTCTGCTTCTGAGTGAAAACATATGGTACTCTTCTCTTTGTTTCTGTGATAGATCACTGAGTATGATAGACTCTAAATCCATCCAAGTTGCTGCAAAGTCCATATGTTTGTCCTTATTTATGGCTGCATAATATTCCATTGGGTATATGTACCACATTTTTTCTATCCATTGCAGCATCGATGAGCAGCATGGTTGGCTCCCTGTCTTTGCTATTGTGAATAGAGTTGCAGCAAACATGCATGTGCAGGTGTCTTTTTTGTAGAATGATTTGAATTCCTCAGGGTATATTACCAATAGGAGGGTTGCTGGATCATATGGAAGGTCAATTTCTAGTTCTTTCAGAAATCACCACACTGTCTTCCAAAGAGGTTGCACTAGTTGACTCTTTATCCATTAAACAACTCCCCATTTCCTCCCATATCCGGGCAATCACCGCTCTACTTTCTGTCTCTATAAATTTGATTACTGTAGGCACTTCATACATATAATTATACATAATTTTTCTTGTTGTGATTGGCTTATTTCACCTAACATAATGTCCTTCAGGTTCATTTATTTTGTAGCATGTGTCCCAATTTTCCCTTTTCTTTAAGGGGTGAATAATCTTCCACTGTATGCATATACCACATTTTGTTTACCCATTCTTCTGTCAATAGATATGTGGGCAACACAATCATATTTTAAAATTTAGTTACTATTTTACAGATTTATAATGTGCTTAATTCTTTTTATACACTGACATGAAACAGAAGTTTCATTTAGCTAATAAAAAAACCCCAGCAAAACCTACCTAGAATTAGCCTTACTAAAAAGAAAACTTTAAATTAACTTTACTGTTTAGAATCTGTGCCTAATGATTATTTGGACTCAAGAAGTTCTTCTCTATTGAATTACAGATATAAATAAATACTCAGATATTAAACATATCTGTAATGTAGAATCTATATACTGTATATCTCCTATGCATTATGTAAATTAGATATATGAAAATGAAGTGTGGACAAATAGAAGTAATTAGTCATTTACTAAAATGAATTATCACAAAATTTAATTTAAGCTTGCCTTAATATGTTCAAATTTTACTTATTTTTAATAAAAATCAGTTTTGTACAGACTGTTTCAGAAATATATCTGAAACATATTTCCCCACAAGGGGTATCAAGTGAGGTACAACACCCACCACAGGGTGGGAAAGAGAATTTGATTTGTCAGGAAGCCCAGGAAAAGGTTGAAGAACTGCCTTCACCAGTTGGATTTCCAGGTGGAGCTTCTTCATAGGGTTCTCCTCTCTGGAGTCACAGAATTCTGTTGGGGACCCCAATCCAAGCCAAGAAAGAGGCAGGGAAAATAAGATTTAGAACAAACACCACTTAAGAAGGCTTACTGCCACTGCTCTCACTGCAGGGTCTTTATGTTTGCTTTTTTAAAAAAAATTAATTTGGCTTATGAATAAGAAACATTTATTTCTCACAATTCAGAAGACTGTAAAGTCCATAGTTAATAAGGCACCAGCAGATTTGTGTCCAGGGAGAGCCTGTACCTCATAGAGGGTGTCTTCCTGTGCCCTCACTTGTAGAAGGGGCAAGCAAGCTCCCTTGGGCCTCTTTTTTATTCCAATAGCTCTACATCAGTGGTCCTAAACCTTTTTGACATCAGGGGCCAGTTTCAAGAAAGACAATTTTTCCATGAACCGGAGTAGGGAGATAGTTTGGGGATGATTCAATTGCATAGTATTGATTGTGCACTTCATTACTATTATTATTACATAGTGATATATAATGAAACAATTATACAATTCATGATTTAAAAAACGAAGCGCAGACAAGAGTAGTAAATAAAATAATGGGCTGCCACATGTGGACTAAAATAAGTGTTGAATTCTGACTTAAAGTCTGTCACCAGATGAAGTTATACAACTGAAGTACATCAACTCACTACTCACTGATGGGGTCTTGATATGAGTCTGCAAGCAATTGATTTCTTATGGACTCTGTGCAGTCAAACCTCACTGCTAATGTTAATCTATTTTCAGTCACTCCTCAGCACTAGCATCACCCCCTCAGATCCACCTTAGATCATCAGGCATTTGATTCTCAAAAGAGCATGCAACCTAGATCTTTCACATGCACAGTACACAGTAGGGTCTGCACTATTATGAGAATCTAATGCTATCACCTGTCGATGGCCTGGGGATTGGGGATCCCTGCTTTAGAAGATACAATTTGTTTTTGGTTACAGTAATACATTGTGAAGAAGTCTGGAATTTGTGAGTACCCACATCCCCACTTGTGTGCATTGTACCCCATAGGTGATTTTTCATCTCTCCCCCCTACTCACCTTCCCCTTTCTGAGTCTCCAATGTCCATGATGACATTCTCCATGCCTTTACAGATTTTAGTTTAGTTCCCACTTGTAAGTGAGAACATGAAGTGTTTGGTTTTCTGTTCCTGTGTTACTTCACTTAGGATGATGGTTTACAATTCCATCCAATTTGCTGCAAAATACATTATTTCACTATTTGTTAAGGATCAATATTATTCCACAGTGTGTATAATATACACGATATTTTAATTATCCACTGATCAGGTTGATTCCACTTCTTTGCATTTGTGAACTGTGCTATGAAAAACACACGAGCACGGGTATCTTTTCTGTATTAAAGCCTCTGTTTCCTGGGGTAGATACAAGTGGTAGGATTGCTGGATCAAAGGATAGATTTACTTTTAGTTCTTTGAGAATCTCTATACCTTTTCCAAAGAGGTTATATTAATTTACACACCCACCAACAATGTATAAACATTCACTTTTCAATACATCCGTGTCAACATCTATTGTTTTTGATTTTTTTACATTTTTATGAGCGTTTTTATTTTTATTAACATATTAGCACCACTGTAGCCATTGGTTAGATATGAAATAGAATCAGACTAAATCTAGTTATTATTACTGAATACAGAGTATACAGCACTCTACTTTTACATATTTCAAGTTTCTGGTATGTTCAAATTTGTATCCATGTCCTAGATCTGTCATCAACTGTGGCAGGACATACCACAAACTGTGGCTATAACAACAGAAATTTTTTCTCCCACTTCTGAAAGCTAAAAGTCCAGAATCAAAGTTGGTAATAGAATCTTGTGTCCTCTGAAACCTCTGTGGGAAATTCTTCCTTGCCTCT